CCATTACCCTCAAAATACCCTTTTGAAGTCAACTTCTTCCCCCACCCAGCGATTTGTTCTTTTCTTTCCTAGTCTTTTGGTCTGTCTACTTTTATTTAGCTAAATTTATTTAAGATTTTTATGCATTGTTTTGTATATCAGTAAGTAGTTTATTCCTTTCCAAGCAATATTTCATCATATTGTATGCACCACAGTTTGCTTATTCATTTGAAGGACATTTGGTTTGTTTCTGGTTTTTGCCACTTGTGAATAATGCTGCTGTGGACATTTACATACAGAATTTGGTGTGAACAAACTCCCTTTTCACTTGGCTAAATACCTAGGGAGTGCAGTTGCTGGGTTGTGTTGTAAGAGTATGTTTGACATAAGAAACTGCTGCTAAACTTTGCAAAGTTAGTATACCATTTTGCATCCCCACCAGCAATGTATGAGACTTCATTTGTCCCACATCTTTCACACCATTTGGTATTAGGGTTTTTACTCCGCCAGCCCTGGTATTTAGGTTTTCTGTTTGTTTTTGTTTTAGCCATTTTAGTAGATACGTTTATCTCATAGTTTAAAAAATAGTTTGTATTACCTTTCTGGGACAATGATAAGCATCTTTTTTGTGCCTCTTTATTGTTTATCTTCTTTGTTGGCTTCTCTGTTCAAGTTTTTTGCTTACTATATCCCTATTTAGCTGTTTGTCTTATTGTAATAGTTACCTACATGTTCTTGGATATCTGTCATTGATAGCTAGAGGTGTACTGAATATTTTCTCCCATTTCTTGGCTCGTCTTTGAGGAGAGCAGACATTTTTCTTTTATTGTTGTGTTGGGTGAGGGTATATTGTGGCATTTACAAAAGTTACAACATATTAAATATATCATAATTGAATTCACCCCCTCCACCATTCTCTTTTGTCTTTCCTCCCCTCATAAGAGCAGACATTTTAAATTTTAAGTTCAATATATTGATTATATTGTCCCACTTTTTATGTTTTACCTTAAGAAATATTTGCCTAACCCCAAGATGATTTTTTCTTACGTTTTCTTCTAGAAACTTTATAGTTTTGGCTTTTTCATTGTTTGCAGTATATTTAGAGTTACTCTTTTCCATATGGATAGTCAGATATTCTAGTGCCATTTGTTGAAAAGAATGTCTCTTCTGTATGGATTGCTTTGGCATCTTTGTTGAAAATCAGTTGACATCATTTGTACACATCTGTTTCTGGATAATATTTTGTTCCATTGATCTGTTGTGTCTTTTCCATAATTCTACAAGGTCTTTACTGGTACAACTTTATTGTTAAGTCTTGAAGTTAAGTAACGTAAGTCTTTCTTGTTTTTTTTTTTTTGAAAAAATAAGACGACTTTTCTAGGTCACTTGCATTTTAATATATATGATAATAACCTTGTCTTTAGGTTGTTTTGTAAAATAACCTTATTTTATAAAATATCCTGTTGGAATTTTGATTGGATTGAATGGAATCTTTTGGCCAATTTGGAGAGAATAAACATTTTAATTTTAAAAATTATATATTCTAAGTTTACTTTTATCTTTATTAATTTTCATTTAATTTGGAGCATTCCAATCCCTGAGCATTGTATAACCCTTCACTTATAGTTTGTGTTTATATTTTTTGGTGAGACTAGGGTTTGAACTCAGAGCTTCATGATTGCAAATCACGTGCTTTACTGCTTGAACCACACCTACAGTCCATTTTGCTATGATTATTTTGGATGTGATCTCTCAAAATATTTGCCATTCTGGCCTTGAACCATGATCCTCCAGATATCAGCCTCCCAGTTAGCTAGGATTACAGGCATGTGCATCAGCACCCGATTTCATTTATGTTTTTGATCATTTATTTTTTTGAGATGGAATCTTGCTATGTAACCCAGGCTGGTCTGGAACTCTTAGGCTTAAGTAATGCTCCTACCTCAGCCCCTCCCTAGTAATACAGGTGTCTGCTACTACACCTCACTCAGTTTAAATCAAAGTTTTAAAATTCTATTTTCAAATTGTTTTAGTTGCTTATAAAAAATGTGGTTGGTTTTTATTCTGAAACCTTTCTAAATTCACTTATTTTAATAGTTTCATAGATTTTGTTAGGATTTTCTACAAATGAGTAATCACTTCATCTGCAAATAGAGGCAAGTTTTACTTCTTCCTTTCATGAGCTTATTATATGGCAAGTAAAATGTTGAACAGCGCAATAAATCAGGCATCTTTTCTTTTTCTGGTCTTGGGGGAAGCAATTTAGTTTTCACCAATAAGTATGATGAAACTGCATTTTTCTTAAGTCCCCTTTATTGGATTAAGTTCTCTTCAAGTACTCATTTGTTGAGAATTATTTTTGTCATGTGTGGGTGTTGAATTTTGTCATTTTTTCTTCTACATGTGTTGGGACAAGCATAGTTTCTGTCCTTTTTTGTTTAAAATTATACTGGTTTTCAAGTATTAAGTCAATTTGTGTTTCTGGGATAAATCTTAATCACAATGTACTATCCTTTTTATCTATAGTTGAGTATTATTTACTAATATTCTGTTAGAGATTTTTCTATGTTCATGAAGGATATTGGTCTGCCATTCCCTTTTTTGTAATAGCTTGTTAGATTTTGTATTTGGTGATGCTGGTCTCATCGAACATGTTAGGAATTGTTCTGTCTACCTGGAGAGTTTGTTGCAGATTGGTGTTCTTTCTTCCATAAGTGATTGATAGTATTCACCTGTGAAACATTCTGGTCTTGGACTTTTGGGGAAGGTTTTAGTGATGAATTCAACTGATTTAGTAGATATACGGCAATTCAGATTTTCTTTTTCATCTTGTGTTATTTTTTTCATAGGTTTATTTTTTAAATAATTTGTTCATTTCTTCTAAGTTGTCAAATTTGTTTGCATAAAGTTGTTCAGCAATATTCTTATCCATTTAGCATCTATAAATGGTATAGTGTTATTTCTCTGTAATTCCTAATACTGGCTATTTGTTGATTCTTTTATGCAGTCTACCCACATAGCTCTATATTTATCAATCAAGCTGTTGTATCAAAGAAAGGAAAAGAACAACAATAATTGCTATGTAGCCAAGGCTGGCCTTGAATTGGATCCTCCTTCCTCAGCCTCTAAAGTGCTGGGATTATAGACATATACCACCACACCGAGCAACTTTTAGCTTTTATATTTGGTTTGTTAACCCAGTTTCAATTTAAATCTTGGTATATGGTGTGAGATAGGGGTCCAGCTTCATTCTTTTAAGTGTGGATATTCAGTACATCAGCACCGTTTGTTGAAGAGGGTATTACTTCCCCACTGAAAGAATGGTGTTATCACCCACGTTGAAAGTCAGTTGACCATAGATATATAGGTTATTTCTTGGCTTTCAAATTCTGTTTCATTGGTCTTTATCTATCTTCATGGCAGTATCATACACAAGTTGATAGTTTCTTCCTGTAGTATATGTTAATATAGTCAAAGTTTGAAATTTAATATTCTATATTTTAGATACTTTTTTTTTCCTTTGTGCTTGGCATGGAACCCAGGTCTTCTACTACTGAACTATATCCCCAGCCATATTTTAGATAATTTTTAAGGGATAGGGCCATAGCTCAGTGGTATACCACTTGCCTAGCATGCTCAAGGCTCTGTGTTCCATCCTCAGCATGCAAAAGCAAACGAACAGAAGTCTTTCTTTGAAAAGTGCAGATTTATCTGTCACTTAATGGGTGATTTTCTAAAAACTTTTGGTGTGTTTCACCATTTCTCTTGACTGCATACAGAAAAGTGATATAGATATACAGGATATCAGGGTACTTTGTAATTCAGTTTTCATTGCTGGTTAGAGTTACCTTGAGACTTTAAATGAAGAAGAAGTTACATAAATTAATCCTGCCAAAAGATGTACTGGTGATAGAAGTGCCAGGACAGGAACAGCTGTCTACATGTTTAGACTGAATATCTCATTAGGAAATCACATATCTACATAGTTTCTAGATAAAAAAATAATTGGAAACACAGCTTTTTACCCAGGTCATGCACAGGTTTTAGTTTTAATTGGTACAACAAAAATTTCAGTACTTTAGAATCAGAATTTGATTTGCCTTTTAAGTCTCTTCTAGTCTGTCACTCCTCTTTTTCTTCCCTTTCCTTTTTCCTTTCTGTTATTTGTCCTTTTGTTTCCTATAGTCTGGCTTTTGCTGGTTGGATTGCTATGGTGTAGTTTAATGTTTTCCGCTATGCTCTGTATTTGAATATAGGGGAATTTAGTAACTTGACCAGATTTAGGTAAACATTTTTTTGTTGTTGTTGTATATTCACTTCAAGTCTTCTATCAGGAGGCATATGATACCTTCTTATTTCTTTTTGTTTTATTAAACTAAGTTTAGTTTTAACAAAGGATTTTAGAGAGGCTGAAGGGTGTAGCGTTTAAGATAGGAGTTCTGGGACCTAAGAATCTGGGATTAAGTTTTGATTCTTTTCCAACAGATTCTGTAATCTGGGAAAGTTACTTCCCTTGCCAATGTTAATTGCCTTATCTGGGAGATGGAGGTGATGATGCCTACTCATAGGGTTGAAGATTAAATGATGTAATGCATTGAAACTAAACATAGAGTAAGTGATTGGTAATTAGCTATTGTTATTGTCTTGTGAATTTAAACATATTCTGAAACAATCTAAAAGGTAGTATATCTTGATTTGTAAGATAATTTGGATACTTAATTTTTGGTTTACCTGAGTTTATTTTAAAGGAAAAGTAAGTAAATTATTCAACTTCGTGGAGTGGCTCTTCTTTGTCTTCCATCAATGTGAACAGGTGCATTCATTTAGTAAGCACTCATACTAACTTAATTTCTAACGTTATTTTTGCCCATGCTTCAGCTGTTGGTCTGAGTTCATATTAATTGGGCTTTCCTAATATTGGGAAGGCTTCTTGTTGAACAGACTGTACTAATACTGTACAAATTTAATCTTGAAGTCTACTTCTTTTTCCTAGGGGGCTTACTATTGTTTTTATTTTACAGTGTAATGGTCAAGCCCAGAAATGCCTTATGTGGATCGTCAGAATCGAATTTGTGGTTTTCTAGACATTGAAGAAAATGAAAACAGTGGGAAATTTCTTCGAAGGTATTTTATACTGGATACCAGAGAAGACAGTTTTGTATGGTACATGGATAATCCACAGGTTTGTAAAAGCCAGTGATTACCTTAAGAGTATATAGAAGTTTTATTTACTAAAACACTTGATATACTGTATAGATTTTAGGGTTTTTCTCCTAACAGTTACAAAAATTGGCTTCCTTGGCTCCATTCTCTCTACCCGTGCCCCATGCTATCTTGTCTGAATTTCAGAAAGTGAAATTGAGTTTGTTTGATTAAAATTTATTCCTATATGTATTTTTTCCCTTCTTGGGAGAGAAATGTTATCTCTGGTAGAAAATTCTTAACCCATTTAGATTTGAGATGCTGAATCTAGGATTGAGAGAGTTACCTTTTGATAAACTACTTGCTATTCTTGAACATATGTAGTTTTTCATCTTGTAGTGTCAAACTTGTCATTGTAATACTGTCCATGAACTTAAATGCATTTTGATCTTATTGTTGCCTTGCAAATCATTGGGATAAATGTCATAAATTAAGAATTAAAATCCTGGCTTTAAGACCTTGAGAGACCTGATAGAAATCACCTGTTGAGTAGTTTTAAACTGCTTTATTTTTTTCAAATAAAAAATGCTCTATAAGTTAAAAATGGAGATTTTGTATGTTGCAAGGAAGTATGTACAAAGCAAGAGATGAATCCGTAGCAAACTTCTTGCCTAGTGTGCTTCTTGTGTAGGTGGAAACATAAGGTCTAGGGAGGAATAGGGACTTCAGGAGGTTCCATTCTGTCCAGAGCTGGAACTAGATCCCTTGATAACTAGTCTGGTATTCTTTACTACCCAGCATTCACTTTAGACTAGACAAGATATTATATGCTAATGTATAAATATTTATTTATATAGAATTTGAGTTGTAAGGGACCTTATTATTAATTCAATCTCCTTCTTAACATAAGAAATTCATCTTTCCCTGGTCTTCACATTAGATGTTGTTTAAATTACATATTATTAAAAAGTATTTATTGTATTGGGATAGTATCAATTATTATTTTTGTCTGTGAGCCAAAATCTATTTCCTTGCATCCCTAGATGCCCATCAGTCCTACTTTGCCCTCTGATTCTTTGTAAGTTTAGTCCTTTATTTATAGGCAGCCTTTCAAATTTTGAAGGATGTTGTATTTTAATTGGGTTTATATTATTTGAGTACTGAATTGGTATGAGACTTTTTGCTGGGAACCATCTCTTCTCTGTCACTGTCCTTACAGAGTGTATTGACACCTTGTTTTACTCCCTTATGTCTGGGGGTAACTACCTTTCTTGGGAGCTAGTCACATGGTTGTTGCAACCACATGGTTATTACTTTTATTTACTCGGTCAGAGTCAGTGGGAAGAGCAGCAGATCAGCATGAATCAAAAGTTCATGCTTATTGTGTTTTCTTTTTGTGTAAATCATATTCCTCTCGTATGACTCCCGTATTTTTATCTGGGGCACAGTCCCTCCCTCACTGACTCCTTTTCCCAAGATAAAACTGACTCCTCCTTGACTTCCTTAATCTCTGTGTGCCAAATCCCAGCTCCTGGTTCTTACAGAGCCAGGCCTGTGCTCTCCCTGATTGGTCTTCCTCTTCTCAGGGTGTGGGTGACTTACATATATTTTCTCCTTAATTTTGCTTAAGACTCTTTGATTAATTTTCTGTTTTCATGTATCATAGATTCTTCTCATAATTCTTCCTTTTATCAAAACTTTCTTTTTAACAGAGCTAAGCAAGGATAAGTGCAAAATAGAATAGATTTGTTACCCTGAATGAAACATGAATTTATAATTCAGAGGAAGATTATAATTATAGGTGGCAGACAGAGTTGATGTCTTCCTGGATTTGGTACAAACGAAATTGACCTAGGTTGGATATGATCTTTGTTGAGAGGTAGGCAAGTGGGGATTCCAGAGCTCATTGAGTAGCTCGCGGAAAGGAATCAATGCTGGAGAATCCATGGCGTGTTTGGATAATCGTTCACTTTGGTGGGGAGGGTGTCAAGCCAGGTCTTTCTCATGTTGGACCCAGGGCCTTAAGCGTGCTAAGTGCAGATTCTACCACCTAGCTATACCCCTAGTCCCTCACATGAGCTTCTTAAAAGCCATGTGTACCTGTTGTCATTAATGCATTGATTTTGCTGAACATAGTGAAGAATTGTAAATCTTTTTTTAGGTTTTCTTTAAACTATTTTTACCTCCTCTTTCTAACTCACAAGAAATTTTTAAAATCTTGATTCTGTCAGTCAGTGATTAGCCATTAATACCAACTTTGTTTCACCTTTAAATGTAATATTAAAGGTACAGTTTCTCATGAAAATTTTATTACAACCTCTTGCTAATAAGATTGTAGGTTAAAGCATGCAAAATTGCCCATTTATAGCCTTTTTGAATTACTGAAAAATGGCATTTTCAAACGGTTTGATCTTGTTGCTTATGTCAAAGTGCAATAGCTTGGTTAGACTGGTCATGACAACCCTGGAGAAGAAAGAAAGAAAGAAAGATTTGCCTGTCCTTAGGGAGCCACTTCCTCTTACTGCTTTCTTTGCCACTAATTATTATTTAAAAATCCATCTTAGTCTATTATGAGGGATCATTTTGGGGCTTCTTGTTTTGTTGTGGAAGTTGGCAGTAGTAGAAAATTAAATAAGTAGCTATACTAGGAAGTGAATTTGAAGAGACTTGAAAAAGTATTTGGCAAAATGAGTTGAGGAACTAATAAGTAACATATAGCTTATTTCCCTTTTTATCTTAAATTTCATATTTCTTGTTCGTTATCAGGTAACACAATTTGAAACCTATTTTTTTTTTTCCAGTTGAGCTTGACAGCAGGCATGCCAGTCTACAGAAATTGGGTATCCTGAATTTTTAAAAAATCCTCCTATCACTTGTATTTCTCTCTGCTGTGGGACCCTATATGTCATGCTTAGTTTTTCATTTCTCTTCTTCACACAGAGGCTTAGAGCTCTTCCCAGCTAGTTAAAGTAGTAGACTTATAGAAGACTTAAAAAATGTATTCTTGAATGGAAGTGTAACAGTATTCAAAGAATTCACCTGGGTAGTAGTTGAGATTCCTGAAGACATTTTCATATTTTATTTCCATACCCAATTTTTTTCTAACCCTCCAAAAAATGTTTAAAGAACCAAAATACTTGAACTTCATGAGTAAGAATATCTTTTAAAATTACTCTTTAAATTTACAAATTTTATTACTTTTTCCCAGATTCTTTTATTTGGATTTACTATATCCATCTTCTACTTCTATAATCTATCTAGTTTATTGTATTTCAAGATATCTTAATTAATAAAAGCATAATTCTGATTATGGATCTGCACACGAGCTTCTTCATTGTTTTCAAGTTCTTGACCGTGTAAATTACTTGCTTTTTTAAAAATTTAGATCATCTATGATTGGTTCTTACCTCATGGTCCTAAACTACCATTTCTTTTTCTTGTTCTTTTTCTTTTGTATGTGGTATTGGAGAGCTCTCCCATTGTGTTGAGCATGTTAGACAGATGCCTACCACTGAGCGACATCCCCGGCCCTTAGTGACCACTTTCTACTACTGCCAGCACCACCACCTTTCATTCTAGTGTAGAGCTTCTGTGCTTTGTCAGCTGCTTGCTGAGAAGCTTATCTCAGACTGAAATAGTCTCGTTCCTGTTCTTTGTGTTTTCAAAGTTTTGCCTTGAGTCTAGCTTAAGTTTTGCTTATTCCTTCACAGTCTTTCCTGATAGCTTCAGCCAGAAATGAATCTCTTCATGATTCTTTACATGAGCTCTTTTATGACACAAACCACATCCCAAACTTGTTAAGAATAAAAATATTTTGAATGAGAGTTCTCAATATAGACATTCCCTGCATGTGATTTAAAGAAAATGGGTTAATATATTTGAAAAAAGATATCAGTGTAGATTAAGTATGGTATAAACACTAAATCATTTAAGTGAGGGAGGAATCTAGTATTTTTTTTCAAGGGATATACTTACTAAAGACTCTTACTGGAACAAAGTAACACATATAGTCTTTTAAAATGTCTTACAATTGTGTTTGCTGTATGTCTCTATTTTTTCCCATTGCTTTCAGGAACAATCTGATCTTGTTTGTGGCTCTTTAAGCTCATGAAAAAGAATATTAGTTTAGTTAACAATGATAAAAGTAGCCTTAATTTAGGTATAGAATATATTATAAAACAGTAAGAGTTAGCTTTGCTATCCAGATTGTCTTTTTTTTTTAAGTGTGCTACTGAGAATCACACTCAGACCTTAGGCAAGTAGTTTACCAGTGAGCCATACCCCCAGTCCTAAGTTGTTACCATGTCAGACCTAGTATATACTTAAACCAAATGAAGTTGATTTGTAAAATGTGATATTAAACATTGAATTTCTTTCCTTTTTAATATATATGAGATGTTATAAAATGAATTCATAATGTTGGGTAGTAATCACATATTAATAATTTATTTCCAGAACCTACCTTCGGGATCGTCACGTGTTGGAGCCATTAAACTTACCTACATCTCAAAGGTAATCTCTATACATGGTATTACTTTCAAAAGCGAATTAAAATCTCGCTGGATGTGAGAGCAGAAGTAGCAGCTTCCTTGCAATATCACTGAACAGTTGAGGTTCAGGTTCATGCCATGGTGAAAATGTACTTGATTACTGTGATTAAGAAGTTCCTTAAATTGGAACAAACACGGATTTAACGTAGAGGATATGGTGAATTCCAAAAGGTAATATCAGGAACTTTTATGATTAGCTACATGAATGCCAGAAAAGGGAGAGATTACCAGGTGTGGTAGTTCATGCCTGTAATTCCAGCACTTGTAATCCTGAGGCAGGATGATTGTTAGAACCTTCTCAAAAACAAAAAACAACAACACACAAAAAAAGGAGAAATCAGTTAATAGGCTCCATATTGAGAACTTCTAAATCTATATTATATATTTTTTAGGTTTTTTCTAACTTTGAAATTCCATTGCCTTTTATATTTTGATGAAAATGTGGACCATCTTCATGTAGAAAGGATGATTTCTCTTTTTACTTTGCTTCTATTAATTTCTCTTTTCTTGTTGATGTTTTTCTGGTGTTTTGCAATATTTTTTCCCCAAAAGTTTGGATTTTGTATTGGTCAGATAACTTTTTTCCTTTTCTTTTATTCGTGTTTTGAAAACTGAGATAGAGATACTGAGGTGCCAGCCCTGTGTTTTTATTTGTTTTTTTCTTTGCTTTATTTTACACAAAAGCCATAAAAGTTTGTTGATGACTTAAAATATGAGATGCAGAAGGTAGCACAGTACTAGTAAATAAAATATGTATTGATATGTGTATATTGTGATCTATTGGCCAAGACAGATCACTTCAGTAGAACACTAACTTAAAAATGTGCCAATGTTTAGAAGATACATTTTATAAATACTTGTTATCAGCATATCAGAGAGGTATTCATTCTCATTGACAAAATAGATATATTGAGAGCATTTTGAAGATTATGTAAATTTAAAATTGTTTATATGTGTGACAAAATCTAGTGTTATACTTTCAACTTCTTCACATTTGCTTTGAAGAAGAAAAATTTGCTCAAAGAATGCATGGAAGTATCATTTATTTTAAACATATTATAATTGGGATCCAGGTCCTATATTTACTTTGCAGTTTTTCAGTTGCTCTAGAAGTTTAATTTCTTATCTGTATACTAAATGTGTATGATTACTGGGAAATCATACCTGTAGAAGTTGATGCAGTATTTACAAAGTTGATGCTAGAGTATGAAGTGAGTAACTCATCTCTCTCTCTCTTTTTTTTTTTTCTTGTAGGTTAGTGATGCAACTAAACTGAGGCCAAAGGCAGAGTTCTGTTTTGGTAAGTAACCATATTTTATGTTAGTTATTTTAAATTAGACTCATTGAATTACAGAAAACAAGCCTCCAGCTTTAAGAATTATTCTAGGGCAAATTCCCTTACAGCCGTCATCCTGGCCAGGAGGTAAAAGTTTGACCCTCATCCCGAACCCCAAAACTTTTTTTGTGTGTCTCATCCTAGTCATAACCTCTTCCTTGCACCCAAATGTAACTGTTGTCTTGGCATTTAAAATGATCATCTTCAGCAGTGTTTCAGATGCCTTTGTACCTTGTATTATTCTGTACTGAACATATTATAAATAGGAGTTGGTTTCCAGCTTGTGGGTTTGGAGGCAGGAGTAGTTGAGCATTGGACTAACTTGATGAGCAAATGTTTAGTGAGTGCTGTCCTTGTACTGGGCGTGAGGGGGAATAAGGAACAGTTGCTGCCCTTAAGGATCTTGTAAGGTAGATGTCTCACAGACAGATACAGTGTTGGGTTATTATAATCGCATTTATCATGGTCAGCAGATAAGGGGGAGGGGTACAGTCTTATTAAAGAAGCACCAAGGAAGAGCCTCATGTCCTTCTGGGCAAGCTCTGGAGTCCGGGGAGCCACAGGGGGTGAGAAGGTTTTTATGTTGGGGGGCCGAGAAAATCCCTGACACCCTTTACCATTGGGGAGAGAGGTGTGCAGGGGAAAAGAATGTGGTACGTGTGGAGCTGCAAGCAATTATGGGAGGCTAAAGTAAAAGGCAGGCAGAGTCAGGGTAAAGTGTGTTGACAAGCAATATATTTTGTCATTTTGTCATTTTGAAAAAGGAAGGAGAAAAATAGAGATGTGGAAGCAGACCTAAGGTGAAGGAGGTTGGAGGCGAGTCTTGTTGCTGATAGATTAGTTATGTGGCTTCTGAACTACTGTAGTTAAGAGTTCGAATGGAACTAATGGGAGAAAGAGGAAGGCTGGACAAATATCAGAAGGGACTATGTAGTGACTTAGAGATGGGATGAAAGAGGTAGTAGGGAAATCTGCTTCAAGTAAAGAAATGAGTGAGAGCTGGGCAGACAAGGCGAAGTATTTTTTCAGGGAGGTCAAAGGGGTGAGGGAATTTCCAAGTGGGAATGTTCTGGTGGTAGAAATTGAGAAAAGATGGAACTCAAGGGCAAGAATGAAGAAATTTGTCTTTCTTTGTCTGGCTTATTTTGCTCAATACGATGACCTCCAGTTCCGACTATTTTCCTGTAAATGACATGATTGCAGTCTTCTTTATGGCTGCATAATACTGTATATTTTTAATCTAGTCATCTGTTGATGGGTATCTAACTTATTCCACTTGACTATTGCGGATAGTGCCACAATAACCATGGTATGCAGATTTCTCTTGTGTGCTGACTTTATTTCTTTTGGGTGCATACTCAGGAGTGGCATGTTTCCTCTCATGTAGACACTACTGGATAAGAAAAGGCTACCTGAAAGTAGAAGAGGAACTATTAGGGAAGGGGAAGGGGAGCAGGATGGGACTCAAGAAAGGGTTGTAGGGAGGGTGGATATGATCAAGGCACAATATATATATACCTATGGCAGAGTCATGGTGAAAAACCATTAATTTGCACAATTAATATCCATTAATAATTATAATTTAAAAAGGAGAAATTTGGAGTCTGTTAAGGTAGTGGGTGATAGTTGAAGCCAGGAGATTGGTACCCTGTCAATTAGTGAACACTAGTAAGGTGAGGGGCAGAAATCATGAGACACCAATTGGCATGAAAAGAGAGTGTTTTTCATTGAAGTGGAACAGGTAGGTACTTGTGGGGTAGAATTAATGTTAAAGTCCATTGCTCTTTTGCAAAGGGAAGCTTTCTTCTGCACGCTCATATTTGGAGTAGCATCTAATAGTAATATATGGATCCATTTAGAAAACATACCCTGTCACATGTATCCATCTTGAAAATACTTGTGCAGAGAATCCTCTATAGCTCATTTGTCACCGCTAAGAAACAAAAACTTACACATTTGCTATAAATCTTAATTTTGGTTACTAAGTAAGAAAATGCCTCCGAGGCTGTTGGGGGGCAAGCCAAGAAACAAAGAACTTTGTATTCTAGATATATCATGCACCTACTTTTGACATATCTTTTTGGGTAAAATCTCAAACTTAAAGTTTGAAGAAATAGTGTAAAATAACAGACTCAGCATTCATAATTATTAAGATATTTAGAATGGATGATTTTAGTTGGAATCAAAGATTAAGATTAATCTTTAATGATATTTCTATAGTTTATGGTTCTTTCCTGCTAGTGGGAGTAAACAAGAGATTCATAAAATGCTTGCTTTCAGAGAGAGAGAGAGAGAGAGAGAGAGACAGAGAGACAGAGAGACAGAGAAAATGAGAATGAACTGCCTTCTAAAATAGAGCCACAGCTTCCATTCAAAGTGGCATTGTACCTTCTCTCAAATTGTCCCAAAACAGTGAGAACAAGAAACAGTCAAACCATGTTTGATGAAGTAGGAGACATGTAGGTGGTCCTCAGTGTATAAATATGGAAGGTAGATGGAGGAATGTGTGGATAACTTGGCAGAGTAGCCTAAGAGGCTAATGAACAGCTAACCATTTCAGTGTCCTGCCCCATGCTGACTCAGTGTAGGCTTAAGTAACTGGATACACTTTAGGGGGAAGTAAAGGTGAGGAGGGACTGCAAACAGGTTTTTTGTTTGAATGTGTTGGAAATAACCATCTGGTTTAGGTGGTAGCCACCCTTTCCCCATCCCAACAGGGAATGGGATATGTGGTATCTGCAGAAATAGAATCAGTGAGGCTCTGTACATTGGGGACAGAGCATGCAGCCCTGGAGAACGTGCAGTCACATGTTGGTGGCATAGAGCCTGAATACCCTCAAGAGCAGCCGCATTGGTGCTACCATGTAGACTCTGTTACTAGAAGAGCTTGCTGTACAGAGGACTCTCCCAATCAGCATCCCAACCCCACAGCTCAAGAAAGTGCCCAGTCAGTCTTTCTAGTCCCTCCTCTTTAAGTATGAATAGACAGCCCAGGAGTACCTAATATTTGAAGACAGAATTAGCAAGAAAAGAAACATGAAGCAATGCCAGACTCAGGAGAACGAGTAAGAAAATCTATAAGTGGGACAAAGGTAAAGAGAGTTAATAGAGAAATAAGAAAATTAGACACTTCATCAAGGAAGTTCCTAAAATAGAAGGAAATGGTAGACAAAGAATAGAGAAATGGACAAGGAATGTGATACAGTGTCTTACAGCTGTTTGATTTATAACCATGTTTGAGCCATAACCAGCTAGTTCTATGTAGCGAGATTTTTGTTTGTATTTTTTGTTCTTTAGATTTTTTGTTGTGGGTTTTTGTTTTGTTTTGTTTTTTGAGTTTATAAACTCAAGGCCTCATGCTTGCTAGGCAGTTCCACCACTTGGCCACACCCCCAGCCCTTTTTGTCTTGCAGGTTTTTTTTTTTTTTTTGCTCGAGCTGGCAGGGACTGCAATTCTTCTACGTACTGTCTCCCCATACCTGGGATTATAGGCCCTTACCACCACACCCAGCTTTTTATTGAGATGGGGACCTAACTAACTTTTTGCCCAAGCTGGCCTCAAACCGAAGTCCTCCCAATCTCACATCCTTATAACTGTGCTTTAGTTTTTATCCACTTGTTTTATGCTTTGGTGGTAAAGATTTGAAATAAAGCAGTTAACTCAAGTGGAAAGGCAGAACATACACAAGCCTCTGGGGATGCTCATTATTCATGATGAAATCCTTGCTGAAAAGGGTGGCAACTTAAAGGTGTCCTAGTTCTGTCTTTTTTAATATTCAAAGCTTTTTCTTCCTTTCCCTTCCACTTCTTCCCATTGCAAATAGACCACTTTTCAGTAGTGTGCTGAGAATTTTCCACAATACTTACATATTTCTTGGCAATCTCCAGAGGATGATGGAGAGGAATTTGCTTTCCCAAGCACTTTGCTACTTTCTTTCATATATATTACCTCCACTTTTCAAGGAAGGAAGGGGTGGGTGGCATTCCCATTTCTTAGATAAGGAAAACAGGATGTAGAGAGATAGATGATATTTATGAGATAATAGTGCTTATTAGACCATAAGCTAAGAAGGTCTGACTGATTACAGGCTCTGTTTCCTACAGTAGACCTCTGTGCCCCTTTTGCCATGAAATAATAAAAGCACATGCGTTTTTATTCAGATTAAAATATGTGTCAAGAGTCTCCTTGACTTGCCCACCCTGGGAATTGAACCCAAGAGCTTATGCATGCTGGGCAGGTGCTTTTCTGTGGAGCTACATCCCCAGTCACCAAGAGTCTTTAGAGGTGTATTGGCCTCTTCTCTCTCTCTCTCTCTCTCTCTCTCTCTCCACACACACACTTTTTTTGTTTTTAAAACAGTTTTAATCGAGCTCTTTCCACATTCTTTTAAAAGAGGTCGTTATATAAATATTATTTATTCAGAAATATGTATATTATTCATTTACTTAGTACCAGGTATACTGTGTAAGTAAATGCTTAGCTTTTCAAACTCTTCAGTGTTCTGAACAGATGCCCAAACCAGGGCATCAAGGGCAAGAAGCCATTATGAGGAGAACTCACCTTGAGCCCAAGTTGGAAAGATTCTAGAAGCATACTGCCCGATTGCTAGGAGTTAAAAACAGAATTTGTTTATTGACAGGTGTAGCGTCCTAGTGAGTGGCTAGTTTATCTTAAAATGTATTTGTAATTTCTCCTTCTCTACAAAAATAAAAGATAAAGTTCTTCACTTTCCAGTCTAGTTGTTTGTGGCACTTTACAAGGTACACTTTGATTTCCTTTCTGAGACCTTCATCTCAGTCAAAGAAGCTCTAGCGTAAAGTACCTTGGTTGTAGTACCATTTTCCAAATCTTGTATGATTGAGAAATAACTTTTTTTCCTTGGGGGTTTTCATTTCCACCTTCTTTGTCATATTTAGCTGGATGCTAGTGCTTATTTAAAGTTTTGGTAGAGTCTTCTGGAAGTTTTTATATTTGAATAATTGTAACAGTAGAGCTAGACAGATGCTCCTAGAATAGTATTTTTTTTAAATAAATGCACATTATGTATAGTAAATAGGTTTCATTCAGGAGCTGACTGTGGTAGTTTGTGGATAACTACATGTGCAGATGTGGTTTGCTTTATAAAGCAGATAGATCCAGTCCCTAGAGGGATATATGTAAGATGTATAAAAAGCTCCAAGAGTATTAAGATTGTAAATTTAAATAAAACTGATTAGGGCTAGAAAATAAAGACGTTTGTAATCTTAATTTAGGGACTTTTTGTAAAGGTATGAAATTTAGAGGCATTTAAGGAAAAATTGATGAAATATTTCTGTTTGATCAAAGATACCATGAATAAAGTGAAAAGACAAATGACAGACTAGGGAATGTGCATATAATAAAATAGAAAGGATTAATAGAAAAGCTTCTGCAAATTAATAAAAGATAAATGAACAGCTCCAGATAAATGAGTAAAGAAAATATACAAAGCTGACAAAACAAATATAGAGGGCTAATAAACATACAGAACTAATTTGTTGTTGTAATCAAAGAAATTCAGATTTAAACAGGATATAATTGTCCACTAGTTAGGTTGTCAAAGAGTGCTGTATTAGTTAGTCAGGGTCCAGTCAAGAAAATACCACATGAGGTATTTCTATCCAAATATCTATTCCCTATTATTATAGGGAATTGGTTACTCAGGTGTTGGAAGGCTGAAAGAGCACAAAGGGAATGTTGAAGTAACCCAGAAATTAGAACCTGCAGAAAGCAGTTTCCATCCAGGGCTAGAGAGAAGAAGCAGTACATAACATAGTGTTGTGGAGAGCAACTACCCTGCAAGGCTGTGTAGGGAGCACCAGAAGGCCTGGGACAGTAGTAGATAGTCCTATGCTGCTGTTGGAGGGAGATTACCACACTCAGAGTTAGCACGCCTCTCTCATCCTCCCACTCCCACCTATGGGCTCCCACCTCTACCTCCTGCTTGCAGAATATGACCCCAGCTGGCAAGGAAACCTAGGCAATGGTGTTTGCAGATTCCCAGTTCCCCTGTCACAGAGCCTTGGGGCTGAGAACAAGAGGCATATAACTAGCACAGGTGCTAATAACCAGTGCTGGTGAGGGTACTAAATGAAAGAGACCTTTGTGTGTGCAGTTGGAAAAGTGTGAATGGATCAGTCTTTGAGAAGACAATTTGCTAATACCTACAAAAATTTCAAATATGAATTCTTTGTGTCTCAGTAAGTCTGTCAAGAAAATTATCACATAGAATGCTAGTCAAGATATGGAAAAAGATAGATATTTGATGTTTCATTATGCCAGTTTATCTAATTGCAAAAATTGGAGTTAGCCAAAGTGTGCGTCATTGGGGAATGTACGCACTATACAGTGGTATATCCACTGAATGCAAATGTGGCCAGTTTTATCTATGTCATTCAATAGTAAAAGCAGTACTCTGTATGGCCTAATATATTTTGTTAAATCCCAAAGAGTTACCATATTGAATTCAATATTTTTCTGCTTCTGCAAACATAAATTTAGAGGTAATAAGTACAGTATTTCATGTGTTTGTTTCTTCTCAATAGTTATGAATGCAGGAATGAGGAAATACTTCCTACAAGCCAATGATCAGCAAGACCTAGTGGAATGGGTAAACGTTTTGAACAAAGCTATAAAAATTACTGTAAGTATTTTCTTGAAAAAGTCTAATATATGGAAGTAATCTTTACATCTCCTTAATGTCCCCAGCTTACCAACAGGTTGCACACTCAAGCTTTGATTAGGAGACAAGGAATGTGAAGAAACTTTCATGCACATGGTGACTATCAGCCCTTTCATCAGCCCATGGACACCTTCTTCACCCGTTATGTACTTACTAAGTGTGTGTCCGTGTAGATTTCCAGCACTGCTCACAATAGTGTTTCTAGGGAAAAGTGCTTTAGCACATAGCGTTCTCCCTGGAGGGCATGGTACTTACTTCTAGAGAAAGAGCCTTGCTGCCACCTACTTGGATGACAGGGCCTAAGCACTCCTATCTGCAAAACTAAGATAGGGCTGCAGTTAAATATGGGAAGAGGGCGAAGGGAGGTTAAGAGCTGAGAAATGGGGTACAGGACTAGAGTCCGGTCTGAAGAGCTGTGGCAGACAACGGGTCCACCAGTGTGGCCCTGTGGAGTTTGTCTCAGGCTCTGAGCTTCTTTCCTGGCCTGTGCTTCTCCCTTAAGTTCCAGAGCTTGTGACCCTTCCCTTCCTCTCAGTGCTATACAGATCCTTGCTTCCAACCTTTCTTCTGTTTGGTTTTTCTGATGAACATTAATATTTACTGATTATTTGCACTGAGCCAGGCTTTGCACCGTAGGTTTTTCCTAATCTCTGGAAAACTGAGGCTTAGAAAGACTTGAATGACTTGTATAGTTTTGAAGCTGGTAAGCTGTGGGGGCTGGGAGCCCAGGCTAGCCTGTCTTGCTCTAAAACCTGAACTCTGAAACACAGTATGCAAAAGGGCCTCCTCCTGATGCTTTTGTTCCTAAAGTCAAATGAAGCTTTTCTGAGCAAGTGTGCTGCTGCTGCTGAATGAGTACATGTGTGTACTCCCTAACTGGTCCTTGCTAGACGTTCTCCTTACATACTCACAGAAGAGCATGGTGGAAGCTGTGTGAAAGGGCTTGGGAAGGGGTTCTTATATGGGGCTGTCAACTGAAGTGCTTTACTAAAGTGCAGATGCCTACTATTGGCTCTAAACTACTTACCCTCAAAGAATATGTGCCCTGAAATTCCATATATTAGATACTTGTTAGTTTCTATCTAAAATAAATGACTTCATGTTCATGTCATAGCACAATAAAGAGTTAATATAGCTAAAGCTCTCAGGGTTAGGTCAGATTTTTTGTCTTACACCAGAGCAGCTTGTTACCACATGACAGAAAACGCCCACACACCGCATCTAATCTGTCCATGAAGCAGAAGTTATTTTGGGCTTGTTCAGTTTCAGGAAAGCAATATTTTGAGCTGATTCAGAAGTCCATATTCTTAAAAAATACTTTCAGTAACTATTGCCTACTTGGAAAATTTCCCTACTTGTAAAATTTCTTTAGAAAGAAAATATATAGTAACTTAACTGAATTAATTTCTTGCAATTTGTAATAGTAACTAGAACTGGTTTCTTAGTGTTCTAAGAGAAAAAGTAGTGAATGATGTCAGGCTTTTGGGGGGGTCTTGAATTGCTGTGTCTGATTTATTCATTTAATGAAACAAGTCTTATTCAAGTGACACTTTAGTTTTTAGCATGAAGGAGAAATTGATGAGGGATCGGGTAATGTTTTAAAAGTACTGCTTTTAGTGAGCTCTTGTGGTCTTGGGGCTTTATTTTACTTGTTGAAATTTTTACGGTCTAAAATAAATGTGTTGGTAATGATTTTCATGTTTTTATAATTCACATGCATAAAAAATAAATACATAAGATACAGAAATCTTTTGCTCATCAGTAGTGTTTATAATTACATAAAATGAATATTGATACCACTAAAAAGCCAATTTTACTTAGATGCACATTTAACTTACAGGATAGCGATGAAAGAATTTCCCATGTTTTTATTAATCAGATATATTTTATGTTGATTTTATTTTCTTACGCAAATCTTACAAGTTTGATTTCATATCCATTTCACACATTTAAGTGTATTGAGAGTGGGACGTCTAATTTTTCATACTTTCCTATGGAAATTGCTGATGATTTATATGTAGATTCTTTGAAAATGTAGTTTTCATTTTAATACATGTTCAGTTTACTTTCCTATGGACTAATTTTAAATGACACTTTGGTCAACTGCAATTTAGTAGTCTGTGATACATAAATTTAAAATTTTTATAAATCCTAAATGAGAGTGTGAGAGTATGTGGTTTCAGCATAGAGATGGTTAGAGGGGAGTGTGTAAGAGAATGGTGATTAACAGCTTCCTAATTATGGTAGCTGCCATCCTAATGCACTGTTCTCTAACACCACGGTCCCTCCTTATTTTCCCTAAGTTTGTGTGAGATGGATTGGTGGCTGGCATTTTAAATTAAAATTTAAAGTATATTTTCAACTATTTATATTAATAACAACATCAATATGGTGATTTCTGGTCCCTTATTAATTATTAAAGAGTGTCCAAGATGGCTGTGGTATATTCCTAAGCAGCAATGTGCTGCTTTAAAAGTGTCTTTTTAATTTAAAAATCAGTATTAGATATTTAATGTAAAAATTAATCTTTTGAAGTTGTGGCAAGACCTGCGTACTTTTTTTTTTTCTTTTTTTAATGGTATCTGGGAGCAAGGAGAAGAGTAAGCTGAATGTAGGCCTTGGGTCCTGACGGAATGGCCTGCGTGCCCAGCAGTGTTAGCCAGGCCTTCTGCTTCACACCCAGCAAGTCAGGTGTAGAGCACGTGTCTGAGCAGTTCAGCTTTCCACCTTCAAGCACTGTTATCATTCCCAGTGAGCCGAACATCACCCTTCCCTTTAACTTTTAAGAAACTGGCACCATTTCCATTTATTTCAGTCATGAACATGCTCTTACCATTTTTACCTTTTCTTTTCCTATTCTAGAATTTTCTATTAGGGTCATATGCAAATGTCTGCTAAGAATACATTCATATCTCTCATAAAAAAACAGTCATGTTAAAAGAGATAAACTAAAACAGGGCAAAGGGGAAAAGGCAGTAGTCAAAGAAACCCAGGCATATTCAGTTTCTGACACTTGCTTTCTCTGCCCTGTAAGATGGATCATTTTTCTGATTCTCATTAGCGGTTGACTGATTTGGGGACATGATATATATGCGGGTGTCCTAAAATGTTCATCTTGATGGCTGAATGTAGACTTAACTTTTCAGTTACCTATAATTTTTAAGGGGAGTTACCTTTATTCACAGATATTTTGCTTGTATTTTTCTTGTTCTTAGGGAATATGATGATTATAATTTAGATTGCTTTTATTGTAAAATGCAATTCTAAGTTAATTATTTGACTTTATTGGAAGTAGTGGTATATTTATCTTGATTTTATTATAAGGACACATTTGAAGCATTGAACTTAACAGCATAGGCAAGGGTTTTTAATACACTGTCATTTCTGGAAGAAAAATGGAAAACCCGTAAAATTCAGTATATTTTTAAGGGTTCTATTAAAGGGTTTTCTACAGAAATTCCTATGTGTTGTTAAGCTCACAACTTCTTCAAGAAAGAACACAACTACTGCTCTTACTGTTCTTATGGGTCACTTCTCAGCAATACTGCTCACCTAATGGAGTTGAATGGTTCTTTTCTCTGTGGTTTCAGATTGTCTTGATGCTACTTTCTGTTCTCAGTGAGATGATAGGGCCACATTTTCACTATTGAAGTAATTTAAATACAGGATGCTGTTCATTAGAAAATACAATAGGCTTCCTTGGCAAATTGTTCTAGGGTATGGTAAAATTCTGTCCACTATTGTACTGTCTTTAGAAAGTGCTCCTAATTGTATATCCTCTTAGAATAATTCCACAGGCATTTAGGATTTACTTCCCTTCTCTTCCTTTCCAGTTTCTGTCTTTTTCCTCTGTTTCTACTAGGACCGGCATTGTAGTTTGAGGATGCAGAGAGACTGAAGGGTTCAGCCAGAGGCCTGAGGGGAAGCATTGTAAGAGAGTCAGGAAGAGGGAGCAAAAGGAGTCTTGAAGTCACTGAAGAGACAAGTATCTATAAACCTATATGTTCATAAATTGTGTGTGGATTTGGATCTGCTACAGCTTAGCATCCTCTCATATGCATATAGTCTGTTTGCTTGGTATTTTGCAGAAAGCTTTATGAATTCTTGTCTACATTGTATACCTGCTTTTCTACAAACCCGGTGAGGGTAGCATCATATAAAATGAGAGCACAGGTTTTGGAGCAGTGTTTGTTGAAGTGTGGATTGTGAAACATCTTGTTTAAGAACAGCTGCTGTTCCCCAAAGTACAGTTCAGAAGGGCTGTTTTGTAGATTTATTGAATTAGAATTTCTGGGTATGAAGTCTGGGAATCTAAGTTTTTGATGATGTTCCTGGGTGCAACTTACGCACACTACAGCTAGAGAACACACCTTGCTTTGGATCACACTATGACATGGTAGGGTCTTTGAATATAGTGTGAACAGGGTCTTCTGTAGATCCATCAGTACTCTGTGTACAGCTACTAATTAGGTAACAGAATTTAATTTTAAATGAAATGTTTTTATGTCACTACTTTTGTGATTGTCAGTAGTAATATTCATAATGCTTCTGAAAGATTGTAAGATCCCATGTCATTGGAGAGAAATTAAATTATGTTCAACACTATATCAGATATGAGTTATGTTCTGGTAAGTTTTACTCATAGCCTTAAAAATGTGTAATTCGGGTCAGGAACTGTGGTATATGTCTGTAATACTAGCACCTAGGAGATGGAGGCAAGAAGATCCACAGTTTGAGGCCAGCTTGGATTACCTAGCAAGACTGTGTCTTAAAAAAGAAAAATTATCATCTGAATACAGTCTAAATGGTTAACAGTCTATAGACAAACATAATGATTGTCTTGAGTACCTTATTCTCTGATTAGGTCACATTTTATTAAGCTAAAATATATATTAAATGCTTGTGATTTTGTGCCTCTTTGATTTGCCTTTTGTGAGCTGTTGATATATGAGATTCTGCTATTGTCACAGTCATAATTGATTTATATTTGTGAGTGATATTTCATTACCCAAGTACTGGAATTCCCTTAAATTCCTAATAAGTTTTATGTTATTTTAAACATTTTGGTTTTTGATAATTTTAAGAATCTTACTGTTTTTTTCCTGCTGATTTTTGGATTCATTCATTGAATCAGTCTTTCAACCTTTATTGAAAACTTACTGTGTGTCTCATAATCCTTAGTGTCTTGAAGCCAGTAAAGATGACCAGGTCATGACTCCTGTCTGAAGGGCCTTGCAGAATCATGAATAGGAAAGGAGGAAAGGGAAGACCAAAGGAGAGCTATAATCCAGTGCTAAATGCTAATAAGCAGGGTTAGAGTACAGTGGTTGAGTTTGGCAGAGAGTTTTACAAACTTGGCTAGAATGCAGTTTGTCCAGGAAGGATCTAAACCTATGTTCCTCTATTACTTTTTATTCATTTTTTGGCAGTACTGGGGGTTGAACTCAGGGCCTTGCACTTGCTAGGTAAGCACTCTACCACTTGAGCCATGCCTCCAGCACTTCTTTGCTTTGGGTTATTTTTTAGATAGGTTGTTGCTTTTTGCCCAGACCACCTTAGGACTTCAGTCCTCCTACCTATGCCTCCCACATAGCTGGGATTATAGGGGTGCACCACCATTCTCTGGCTTATTTGTTTAGATGGCGTATCACACTAGCTTTTGCCCATGCTGGCCTTGAACCATGATTTTTCTGATGTCCACCTTTTGAGTAGCTGAGATTACAGGCATGAGCCATTGCACCCAGCTCTTTCCTTTCTTCCCGAGCACTACCTCTATGCTTAGGGTTGGTAAAAGGAGAAATGAGGAAATGTGTGAAATAGTACCTGTACAAGTAAGTATTCAGTAAGTGATGACTGTTTCGTAAAGCATACCAGAACAGAAAATTAATGTGAGAACTTAAAAATAATAGTTTATATGTTTGTTGACTATATATAAGCAGATAGTTACAAATTCTATGATAAAAGAGGGTTATATATGTAATGCTGGTTGCAGAATGATTCGTTTTACTGTTTTAGGTACCAAAGCAGTCAGACTCACAGCCTAATTCTGACAACCTAAGTCGCCAAGGTGAATGTGGGAAGAAGCAAGTGTCTTACAGAACTGATATTGTTGGTGGTGTACCCATCATTACTCCAACTCAGGTAATAAATTAATTTTTCCATTATACAAGGATCTCATTCATAATTGATTTTTCATACTGTCATCGAAACTAAAATAGTATATCTTTACTGAGTTACTCTAATACTCAGTAACTATAAGACCTGTTATTTTTGTTTCTTATTATGAAAGTATGTTTATTGTTAAAGCATTGGAAATTACACATAAATACTCGATGCTTTTCATGTTTCTCTGACCCTTCTATGTACTTTTCCTTCCAGTATGGAGCTGTGAGTTGTGTGTTAGTCTTGTTTTTCACTTACATCATGAACATGTTCCTAGTAATCAAAAGTTACTCTGCATCTTCTTTTTTGTTTGTTTGTTTTGGTGGTATTGGGGTTTGAATGCATGGCCTCATGCTTGCTAGGCAGGTGCTCTGCCACTTGAACCATTCCACTAGTCCTTTTTTTGTGTTGGGTATTTTCAAGATAGGGTCTCATGAACTATTTGCTGGGGCTGACTTCAAATCTTGATCTTCTTGATCACTGACTCCTGAGTAGCTAGGATTACAGGCCCGAGCCACAGGTACCCAGCATTCTACCTCATTTTTAACAACTGCAAGAGTAATTCTACCATGAATTTACTGTAATTTACAAACCTTTGTGGTTGGACAAAGGGGGTAGAGGGTTCCTCCCCTAGCTCCTTTCTTTCCTCTTTTCTGAACAGTGCTGTAAGGAACATTCTTCTATCTTAAACTTTAGAGATACAGATGGTATTTTGTAAAGGATAAATTCTAAACTTTTTAAAATGAGATTAAAACTTTTGTATGAACTTAAATTTTTGTGTTGCTATTGAGAGAATGCATTTGTAATGTAAATAAATTACTAGTAGTTAAAAAACCAAGAATTTAAAAGTAATTGTTATTGTTAGTGTTGGGCATTTTCATTACTTTGTGTCTCTTGAACTTAAAAGACTTTGATACCTTTTAAGTTGCATTACATACCATATTTCCCCAGTCTTTTGCCAGGGGAAGGTGATTTGTACAAAGAAATCTTACAGTATTAATTATTAAGTTCTCTTTTTAGGCTTGTAAAGTTTATATTAATGAACAAAATCTCACTCTGGTAGGAGCTTAAAGATTTTTTTTTTTGCCGCCAAAGTTGGATAAAAAGAATAATATGAATGTATATTTACTTTTTCCAAAAGTAATTATTTTAATCTGTTAATGCATAGCTAGATGAACACATAGCTAACTAAGTTTTCGCCTGCATAATGCCCTGCAGGGCCATCAGGGCAAACTATTTTTCTGTAGTCTTATTATGATACTGTAGTAGTTTGCAGATGTTTTCATTTGGATTCCATGAGCAATGCCATTTTTAAGAGCATGTTAGGTGAGTGCTCTGCTACTGAGCTACACCCCCAAATCCAGTAGTACAGGTTTTTAAAAATTATAAAGTACTATTTACTCACTTTGAAAGCATTTAGACAAATACACTATCAAGAGAAATGTTAAATAAATTTTATTCGCTTGATTAATTTATTCAGCAGCTATTGGGTTGCTGAATAACTTTGTAATGTCACAAAGTACAAGTTAAGTACAAAGTGAAGTACATAATTAGTGTTGTTGACCAGTCTAAATATAAAACAAGTTGAAAATTCCTCAAGGTATATATGGCAATTATGACTTAGTTTTTCTCCTGATTATTAATTCTGGAAAATAATCCTTTGGCTTATTTTGGGATTCCAGATTGTCAGATGTTACAAGTAAATAGGAAGTCAGTGCTTTGTGGGACATGAAATCCTGGGTGTAGTTAGTTTTTTTTTTTTTTTAAAAGCACTAGGCTTACACATAAAACAAAAACTACAGCACAACAGAAAAGAGCATGGGAGAAAATCTTTAGGATCTAGGATTAGGCAGAGAGCTTCCAGGTGTGACATCAAATTCATAATCCATGAAAGGAAAGATTGATAAATTGGACTTCATCAAAGTTTAAAATGTCTACTCTATGAAAGACCCTGTTCAGAGGATGAAAAGAAAAGCTACACATTTGCAGACAATATTTGTAAGCTACTTATTAACAAAGGACTTGTATCTAGAACATTGAAGAACTCTCAAAACCCAATGTCTAAAAGCGAAAAAAAAAAACTGAATTAGAAAGTGAATAAAATCCATGTGCAGACATTTTACCAAAAGATGAAATGTAGACTACTGCCACTGGTAGCCGTAGGGAATGTGAATTAAGGCCCCTGTCAGAACAGCTCAACTAAAAAGTGATGGCAACGCAAATACTGACAGGAATGAGGAGAAACTGGACTTTTCCTTTAGTGCTGGTGGAAATGTGAAATAGTTCAGCCATGCTGAATAACTTTTTTGGAAGGGATTTTTTTTTTCTTTTTAAATTAAAGTTAATTTGCACTTACTGTCCAACCTAGCATTTGCACTCTGAGGTATTTATCTTAAAGAAATGGACAATAAAAACCTATGTGTGAATGTTGCTAGTACTTTTATTTCTAATAGCCAGAAACCGGAAACAACTCCCATGCACTTTAATGGGTAATAACTGGGTATAACTAGACCATGGACTACAGCATTAAAAAGGAATGAACTGTTGACACAAAGAACATCCGGCATTAATCTCCAGAGAATTGTGCTGATAGGAAAAAAAAAAATCAGTCTCAAAAGATTACCTTTTGTGTGCTTCTCCTTACATTCTTAAAATGTTAGAATTGCAGACAGACATCAAATTAATGGGACAGAATCTCTGACGGGGTGATGGTGAACAGTTCTGGTCTTGATTGTGGTGATTCCCAATGGATCTGCACATGCGATACGTTGCATAGAACTGTGCATAGTCACATAGACAAAAGAAAAGTTTTCATGTAAAACTACTGAAGTCTGAATATGGTTTCCAGGAGGCACTAACACTGCTTTTCTTGGTTTTGGTAATGTATTCTATAGATAGGCCGTTTCCCTCTTCGGAAAACTCACTTCAAAATCCATATTCCTGACTGCACTAATATTTTAAAATTTTCTGCTAGCATAACAACATGAAATAAAACTATGCTTCGAAGCTAAACAAGCAAGAATTTATCTTTTGCTTCATTTTAGAAAGAAGAAGTAAACGAATGTGGTGAAAGTACTGACAGAAATAATTTGAAACGGTCACAAAGCCATCTTCCTTACTTTGCTCCTAAACCACCCCCAGATAGTGCAGTTATCAAAGCTGGATATTGTGTTAAACAAGGAGCAGTGGTGAGTAACTTAACAAAATGTAAAGTAATGAAAAGTGAGTATGTACTAGCACACTTGCAAGTTAACATTCAAATTGTTTGCTTTATGAAAGACCCAAAGTGGAGACCAGAATGCTGGGAAGGGTGTCAGGACCCAGAGCCGGGGCTACTCTGTTTATAATGTAGTGCTGCTGTTCCTGTTTTCACTGACCTTCAGTTTACGTGAGCTTTCCTACAGTTTAAGTTTATTCCAGAAAGTTTCTCTGTTGATTCCTCACACCCTCAGTAATGGGTCAGGGTAGGAGCTCTAGTAGGAGATGGCAGGCCCAGAGCTTGGAGAGGAATGGGTACTGGTGTTGAGCTGACCTCCATGGAAAGTTCTGTGAGCTTAGGCCTTTTAACCTTGCAGGCTTCCAGAGTCTCTTAAAAAGAAAAACATTTTATAAAACCTATGGTCCAGGTTTTTTGGAAAGATATAAATGAGAAAGAGTATCCCTTGGCACAATACCTGGTACTCAATAAGAGCCTTATAGGTGAGCCCAGGTAGTCCCACATAGTCAGCTCCATGATGTGGGATTTCTGCAAGAATAAGTACATTTACCAGTATTTCTAAGAATCCAGAGTACTTTCCTGCCTGATGTGGTGGTACGCATCTGTAATCCCAGCATTCAGGAGGCTGAGGTAGGAGGATTACAAGTTCTAAGCCAGTCTTGGCCACATAGTGAGACCTGGTCTTCAAAAAAAAAGAAAGTACTTTTCTAAAATTTAAAGTTTTCTTTTTCTGTGAACTAAATTGTTTTATAATTTCATGAGAAAATAAAGTTTAAAGTTTGAAAAAAAAGGAAAAAATATCATGAAGCCATGAATAAAATGCTTCAAACCCTGCTCTCAGCTGGCAAGTTAGGTCAGCCTGGGAAAGTTCTTCTGGCCTGTAGACCTTTGGTCTAGGGAAATGTTACGCAAGGACCAGATGTTTCTCACTACAGCATGTGCACAGGTGGAGTCAGAATTCTTACCAGGCTGTGATGCTCAGTTGTGTGTTAATTAGGGTTTTTAAGGAGGTATTTCTTCCTATGTCCAAATTATCAATCATGTAGAGATACTTTAGTGCACTCAAAAAAACTATACTACATAGACAAAAGTGTTTGTATAAAATGTTTAAGTATTTCCTTTATAGGTTCACTTTATTATATATTCCTATGTATAAAGTACTTGAAGAATTCATAAATTTTATAGATAGAGAGACCTGATGTGGTTTAATAACATTTCCTGTGCTTGCTCTTTACTTTGTGGGGGTGAGGTGGTGGGGAGGAAAGGGAAGTACTGTATTTTTTTTAAACTTTTTTTTTTGAGCATTAAGAATATCAAGTATCATAAAAATTATTAATAAAATCTGAAAGCCAGCCACCAAAACCATGAGTTCAAGACTTGGTTAGCAAAAGAGACAAGGTTTCATTTATTGCCTCACTGAGGGAGGGTAGCAAGACTTCTCAGTGCTTGGCACTTCTGACTGTGGGTTCATATTGGAGTGATTAACATTTGACATTCTTAGAAAAAGAAGTCTTAAGTCCGTTTTCTTCTTTGGTAGATGAAAAACTGGAAGAGAAGATATTTTCAGTTGGATGAAAACACAATAGGCTATTTCAAATCTGAACTGGTATGTTGCCCCATCATAATGCTTTAAAAATGCTTGAGAAGTGTTACCTTGTATGATTGATTATATGATTTTGTGCTATTCTCCATGTTTAGAGTAATCCAATTTTAGTTTTGAGAGCACCTACAGTTCAACTTGTTTTGTTGTGATATTTTTAGTTAATCGTATTTTTCTTAAATACATCTTAAATTTTAAAACATTCCATATTGAAAAGATCTAAAGTTACCAGCATCTCCCCATGTGTAAATTCCCTTCATAGGAACATTGGAAAAGCTGGTTTAAGAATTCAGTCTCTAAATGTCACAGTTAACCCTTTGCATTTCTGCCTTTTCTTCCCTGTCTTCTCTTGACTGTTTCTTTTTCTAGATCAAATTGATCTCAAGCTGTTTCACTTGAGATGTTTTTGTCCTTTCTGAAGATAGAATCAAAAATTGAGATTTCTTCTTTCACTTATCCAGTTAGAATCCTCAGGTGACCTGAGTCCTGCAATCGATTGTGTATAAATTAATGCAATTCTATACCTCTTCTTGTTGTATGGGAGCTTGGAGAGAGGAACCATATCCTTTATTTGAGTGAAGTCATCAGAACCACACTGTCCAGTTCAACTCCCTGCCCTGGTGGAACTGCTCCATATTTAGTGTTCTAGTGCCACTGGCTACATGTGGCTTTTGAGTACTGGAAATGTAGCCAGTGTGAATGAGAAATTGGCTTTATTTAATTTTAAAGCTAAAACCAATTTTATTTCATTTTCATTAATCTGAATTTACATAGTTACACATATGCATAGTGGCTACTATATTAAACACAGGAAAGGAAGAGAACACTGGACGATAGGAAGGGAATATTTTAAAATTAATTTCAGGTGTTAGCTCTTTTATGAAGCGTTTGTGGTAGTGGAGGGGCAGGAACAAGCTTGAAGCCTGACGTAGGCAGACAGGGCCCATGTGGGATGAGGAGGCTGTTCTTGTTGGGGCATGCACACCGGAAGTGGGTGGTGGCAGAGATGACAGAATGGTTACGTACATAATTATTGATAGACTAAGGAGATATATTAGGTGTAATTGAAGCCAAGTTTCTTGCTGTAAAATAGGGGAGTGACAAATAGGGAAAAGGAGAAAGTTTAGGTATTAGATTAGAATTGGGTATATTGATAAAATTTAACATACACAGATAGCTAGACATGAATGAAGCTGTAAATGCATTTTTATCTTTGTGTGTGTGTGTGTTTATACATATGTAATAGGCTCCCTAGCTCTGTTTCCTGAGAAAATTCACATTTTCCCCTGAAAGAAACCTGGACCATATGGAGAAAGGGCAGATTCTAGAGCTGGGACAAGAGGTAAAGATGTAATATGAGACTGGAATGTCTTGTGTCAGAAAGCAAGGAAGTGCTTATAGACTAAGGACAGGGAAAAAGACAAAAAAGGCACTTTGAAAACATTCCCCTCACTAAACTAGGGATGGCACAAACATCAAAATAAATAATGATGGTAATAAATAAAAGCCTACTGAATAAAGTAGGAATTCATAAGCTCATACAGGCATAAGTACTGACTGAGTGGTGAATGAGTGTGTGCATTATAGGAGGAATGAGATTTTCACATAGTTGCAAAATACTTGCCTGCGAAACAGATATTAAGCACAAGAGGAAAAGAATAATTTTATAGCAAAGAAGCCTGGCTGACAACTTTTTCATCAGGCAGTCAGATGGTCCAAATGAACAACAGTGGTGAGAAAATGGAAACCACATACCACCTGACAGGGTGGTGTGAGAAGAATGCAGCATCACTCTACACAGTCAACTTAACCATGAGGAGACACTCCCAAATGAGGGGCCGCCTGCAAATAACTTCAAGATTGTGAGTTAAGGAAGGAATGAGGAACTGTCCTACCCTAAAGGAAGGAAAAGAGAAATGACAATAATAAAAGGCAGTTTGGGGGCAGTTTCCTGACTTTGGTGGTTGTAATGTGAAAGGATGTCTTTATAAGAAATATGCACCAAACTATTGAGGGGTAGTATGGCCAGGTTAGTAACTCAACTCTAAATGGCTCAGGAAAACCAGTTCTTTGTGCTGTATTTCAGCCTTTGTGTGAATTTGTGATTGTTTCAGTTTTTTGAGAAGGGGAAAAATTGGGGAAAAGTATCTGATAGGAAGATGAGCAAAAGACAACAGACAATTTGCTTAAGAAGAAATTGGGCTGCAGATATAGCTCTGTGGTAGATCAGTTGCCTAGTGGGTGTAAGAGCCCTTGGTTCAGTCTTCAACACTAGAAGATTAAAAAATGAAATCTGAGTGGTTTTTAAAAATGAAATATAATGAAAGAAATGCCAATCAGAACTGCCCTGACATTACTTCTCATCTATCCTGAGAAGTCTGTGGCAGCGTGAAGAGAGCCACAAACTCATGTGTCCAAACAACTCTCACTGCCATTCTTTAAGCAAAGAGCCAGGGCCCCTTGGAGAACTGTCTGCTTTCAGAGCTTGGATAGGTAAAATAAAGCTGAATCTAGAACATCTAAAATTACCAGAAAATAAGGAAGTGGCTCAGATACGAATATAGGCATGTTAGAAGGACACAGAAGCCAACTCGAAGGGGATCCAATGGCCAAAACTCAGATAAATGGAGCAGCAAAATAATGATGACAGTGGATTATAGTGCATAGGATAGAGTGAGCCGTGAATAAATAAGTGGGGAAGGAAATGAGTTTCTTTAGAGTTTAATTCCAGCTTAAATACTGCTCATGGACCCTTGGGTCTAGAAAAATGGCCATTTGGCAGCCAGATTCTCAATGTTTGAAACTAGTAGGCAAAATTATGTTGGGAAACTGGGCACCACATAAGCTCCAAGTATCTTCCCTACGAAACACTTAACAATGATGAGAGGAAAAAGAGTTTTTACAGTAAGTGGCAACTTAAGCAAGAGATAACATACCAGTAATGGGCCAGGCCCACCACGTGTCTCCTAGTGATGATGCACTGAGGAAAACACAGTGTCACGTATGTGGTTTCCTGTCAGAAATGTGTATATAACCTGAATCTCAGAATGAATAAACATCAGACAAACCCAAACTGGGAGACATTCTATAAAATAACTGGCCTAGACATCTAAAATCTCTAAAGATCATGGAAGAGAAAGACTGAAGAACTATTTCACAATAAAGGAGATTGAAAGAGGAGAGCTAAAAAGGTCTGATCCTGATTGAACACTGAGCAGAAAATAGATCATTTTTCTTTTGCTGTAAAGGAGACTCATGGGACAGTTAATGAAATTGGAATGAGGTGTGTGGATTAGATAATAGTATTGCATTAATGCTGAGTTTCTAGTTTCCATAACTGCACTATGGTTACATTTATATAAGGCTCTATCCATGTCTTACACAGTGTATGCTGAAGTGTTTAGTAGTAAAGACACACCATATCTATAACTTGCCTTCCAACATTTTAGGAAAAATAAATATATTTGCGCATATATTTATGTGCATATGCACAGACAGTGATAAAGCAAATGTAAAATATCAACATCTTAAACAACAAGGTGCAGGGTATGTAGAAATACTGTGTACCATTTTATGTAAGTCTCCTGTAATCTGGAGTTATTTTAAAATAAAACCTTTCTGTAAAATTTAAGTTTGTGTTTAAAAGAATGGTGTTCTGTCATGGTTTACTTTTTTTTCTTGGTAGTACATAAAATATGTCTTAATCTCATGGTAGCATTTTTAGTGAAATAGGAATATAGTATTTAATGGGATCCACAGTGTACAGTACTACTGTTAATGTATTAGGAACCATTATATCTTATATTTGGATCTTATATTTAGTTTTCTTACATGTCAAATTGTTAGTTTTCTTAGGTGAGTAATTATAGGCTTGTAACCCTGATGATTTAAGTTAACCCTACAAATCTAGTATTGTAGGGTTATGGAAGGTGAAATAATACATTTAAAATGAAGCAGATGTCCCAGCACCTGTTAAAATAATGTTTTTTATATGAAAGTGATATTCATAAAATGACAGCAGCTTGTGTGCCTTGTATGTCAAAATGACGTTCTAAAAGAGGAAGTAGCACGCTTACTGAATTAGGGGTCCACTGAGGACCAAATCTGCTGGCTGATGACTTTTAATAAACTGCCTTGTCGCTAAGGCCAGAAATCTTGTTCCCAGCAGCAGCATAGGTAAGGGTGTGGAGTTTGAGCGATTCCGATGCTGGATGGTTTAAGAAAGTGAAGTCACAGATGTGCTTTGAGAAGGAAGCACGGTTCTCACACAGATTTCTGGTAAGACAACTGACCCTTCAAAGGATTTTAAGAATAAATGTCGTGAATCTGTTGCTTTTTTTTTTTTATTCCAGGAAAAGGAACCTCTCCGTGTGATACCACTTAAAGAGGTTCATAGAGTCCAGGAGTGTAAGCAGAGGTGAGGAACTGGCACATTTCCTACTGCAGACGGCACCTTAGCTTCATCCATGTGCTTCCAGATTGTGCTTTTCCCTGTTTGTTCTAGTGTCACTGCAACTCTCCAGAGTTGGAATGGATATGCTAGAGTTTATTTGAAGACTAAAAGTTAGGAAATAGAGTCCTTTTATTTATTTAAAAACTCAAAATTCAGGAATAGCTCATTAGTGAAAGGAAAAAAAATAATATGAAAAGCTTAACACTACCAGATTTGACAACCTGATGTATTAGTCTTAGTATTTAAAAGGCGCTGCAGAACAGGGCATTATGAAAGCATGTTAACTGTGCTAGTGTTGACTTGAATAAATTGATTTCTTCACATTTAGAAGCTTGGAACTTTAAAGTTGCTTTATGAATCTTTTCTAAAGCCAAGTCCATAAAATATCTAAATATTAATGAAAAAATGGGCAAAGATAATATAGTTTTGTTTAATCTGTTTTAGTTCTAATATTCATACTTGTACTGAGTAAACAAGTGAAAGAAAAACTGCTATTTAAGTACAATTGGATTTTTTTTTTTTTTTTTTTTTTTTTTTTGGTAACAGTGACATAATGATGAGGGATAACCTGTTTGAAATTGTAACAACATCTCGAACTTTCTATGTGCAGGTAAGATTTCCTAAGAGATGATAGATCCTCTCACAAGGAAATAGTAACATTAGAGGTAAAATAAATATAAATAAAGCCTGTTGCTTTCCAAGGTAAAATACAACAGCTATAACTCACAAGCTTAACAGATACTGTGTAAACATTAATGGTAGGAGATATTTTCAGGAATGGGGATTATTTTGTTATGAATTAGTGAAATGGAACTAAGTCTTATATGGAGGAAAGGAAGTACTATTTTAACTTAGATTTTGTGTGTACCCTCACATTGGGTTATTTTTGCACATTTTAGAATTGTATTTTTCTCGTAAGTTTTGTTTTTTTGTGGGACTGGGGTTTGAACTCGGGGCTTAGCACTTGTAAAGCAGGTACTCTACCACTTGAACCACACTTCCAGTCCTTAATTTTTCTATTGTATCATTTTTGGTCTTTTTATAAAAAGGGAGCCAGATACTCAAAAATAGGCAGTAGATATTATAATTTCCTGTATTTTAGACATCCTGCTTTTAAGTTTAAAATGTACTTTTTGCTCACTACATTGAATTATTTAAATAGAAAGGTTTTTCAAAGCACATGTGTTTTTGTTTTTTGCAAGTTATATATGCTTATTGCAGAAAAATGAAGAAAGTAGTGTTTTATAAAACACTCAATCCCACAGTCAGGCCACCATTCTTACTTTTTTACTGCCTTTGTTACAACAAGTCAAATCATACTTAGTGTTAAATCCTACTTGTTTAATGTACTGTCAGTTTTTCTTATGTTATTAAAAGTTCTCTGAAAACCCATTATATGGGTGTTTTACAAGTAAACTGTTGCTGTTATTCTGTGACTGAACGTTCATTTGCACAGTTTCCATACATTTACTGTAACAGGTAATGAGTAATAACTTCCATGTAAAAATTTGCCTGAATTTCTGATTTTTTTATCATCAGTTTTATTTTTTATTAGTGTGTATTAATGTACTAAGGGGTTTTGCTGGTATTTCCAGACATGCATACATTATGCTTTGATCAGTTAACTCCTCTATTGCTCTTTCTTTCCCCATCTCCCTCCCCCATATTAATGGCTCTTAGTGAGTTTCATTATGCCATCTTCATACATAGACAAATGTACTTTGATATTACTGAATTTCTGTGGTTTTTTTGTTTTTGTTTTTTGTTTTGTGGTACTGGGGTTTTAACTCAGGAATTTGTGATTGCTAGGCAGATGTTCTATCCGTTGAGCCACGCCTCCAGCCATTTTTGTTTGGTTATTTTGGAGATAGGGCCTCACTTTTTGCCCAAGCTTGCCTGGACTGTGATCTTCCTATTTTAGGCTTCCTGCTGTAACTGGGATGACAGATGTATACCACTGAGCCCAGATATTGGTTGAGATGGGGTCTTGTCAACTTTTTTCCTGGACTGGCCTTGAACCACAGTCCTCCTGAGTTTCAGCCTCCCAAGTAGCTGTGATTACAAGCCTGAGCTGAATTTATGGTTTTTTTTTTTTAAGGAAAGTTTCTAGATCAAGTTTTAACCACCAGAGCATGAACCTTTTTACTTTGTCAAATTGATTTCTTGAGTTGTGTTCTTATTAGCAATGAACGAAAGTATATTCTACATTTGTGTACTTTTAGTTTTTCCTTATAGTCTTTGTTAATGTCATTGGTTCAAAAAACATTCTGTATCTTTAAATTTTTTGACCATCTAGATGCTAGAATCTAGAAGTAAAAAGCTACTCTATACCATCTTAAGCCCTTTTTTAATTGGATTAATTTCAAAGTAAGATTTTAAATTCACATTGGAAGCCAGTCTTTATCAAGGAGTAGGGTTCTTTGGGAATATGACTACCAGTACATCCATAATAATTCAGGATACTACTAGACATTGTTTCTAGAAAAGTGGTCTGTAAAATTATATAAGCTGGGCATTGGTGGCTCATGCCTGTAATCCTATCTACTTGGGAGGCTAAGATCTGGAGGATCGTGGTTCAAGGTCAGCTTGGGCAAAAAAGCAAAACAGCTAAATGGACTGGACGTGTGGCACAAGTAGTAGACCACCTGCTTTGCAAGTGCAAAGCCCCAAGTTCAAACCCCAGTCCCACAAAGAAAAAAAGATTATATCTTTTTTTAATGACAGTTGCATACATACTCTTGTTGTGGATTCAGACAATGGCATTGATAGAGCAAAATAAGAAGGGCTTTCTTTGACTTCTTTCTCTCCTATTTTCTTTCCAGAAGTTCTCATTATTAATATTTTTTGATGTGTCTCATCTTAAAACATTAAGTGCACAGCTTAGGTCTTGGTATAGTAACTTGTGCTTCTAAAAATTGTTTGAATACCATTAACTTAGAGTGGTTTTGTTCGTGACAGTGGAAGTTACAGAAATAAGTACATTGGATTTATAGTAGTGGAAGGTAATTTTGAGGACATATTGACTGAGATGAGCTTTTTCCTGTAGGCTGATAGCCCTGAAGAGATGCACAGTTGGATTAAAGCAGTCTCTGGCGCCATTGTAGCACAGCGGGGACCTGGCAGATCAGCATCTTCTGTAAGTTTCCTGCTCTCTGGGGTCATATTCCCAAGGGTCCCCATCCTGTCGAGTTCTTTCCTTCCTCTCCCCTCTAATCCTTCTGTTTTTTCCCTTTGTTGAGATTTATTTGCATGTTGACTTTCATACCAGTTGGACTTGCAAAAACAATAATGCATTTCTAATTTAATGCTTCCTTGTAGTGTAACTTTCTGTGCATTGTATTGTGTTAAATGCACAAGCAGGGCAACTAAAGAATAAATGTTTCCTTGCTTTGTTTTAGCAGTTCTTACTGTTTAGTTCTCGATTTGGTACAGTTTGACACTGTGGTATGTGACCTAATGGTGTAAGGCATTGGTCAGTTCTAGTGTTAGTTTTGTGACTTTCCAATTTCCTCTTTACTTTTTTCATCTCAGTTAAGCTTTATTTGATTTACTAGTGTCATAAGACCACTGACCAAGCATAGACTTAAGTGCAGTTTAGGTTCTCATTCAGTATTTTCTATTTTATGTTTTTATTCTAATTTAGTTGGTTAATATAAAAGCCTTCTCAAAAACTACTGTAATTTGTGATAGCATGATAATAAAATTGAAACAACTAAACATTCTACTCAGAAATACTAAGAAAATATTTTTTATTATATTTTTGTTCAAGTTCATCGTAAGAATTAGCTTTTCTTTGGGTACTTTGCCGCCCATCTTTCCTTGGAAAATACAAATCCTGCTGAGAATTGAGAAGATGTGGCACTGCCATTAGCGGAAAATAGTCTAAAGAGTAATGTTACAGCCTTTGTTATCTAGAGCCGTTATTTACGCGAGATATTCCATACTCATAATGGTTTTTTTGATAGTAATGTCTTTTAGTAGTTTCCTAGAAGTGATAATTACAGATCAATAAATAGTAATCTGTTTTTCTCATTTCTTAATCATAATTCTCCTTACATTGTTTTTGGGATATCTAAGAAGTCACTTTCCTTATGTGTCAATTTTGTAACTTCCTGTACTTTATGTGACTTTCAGCAGCCAAATATGAGGTTCTTTGCAAAAACAGTGTCCGCTGGGAAGAGGAAAAATTGGAGAAGGGTGTTTGTGTTTTGTGCTTTGTGGTGGGGCAGACTGGACTACCTAGCTATGACTTTCAGCAGAACTTTCTCTTTTCCTCCCTGTCCTAAGTATAGGTTAACTCTAATCTTAGCTTTGCACTGTGTTCCAGATGCGGCAGGCCAGAAGGCTGTCGAACCCTTGTATACAGAGGTATACATCAAGAACTGGTGAATGCAGCACGTATGTGGCTCTCACGCAAACGTGCCTTCTTAGTAGAGGGCCCGGACTTACTCACTACTTACAGCTGATCATAGAAAGTTGAGTTAACCAAACTGCCTTTTGCAGTTGTCATAACTGGTTTTGTCAACACTAACGCCAACTATTTCACTGTAGTCATCAGATTGAATACGTGTAATTAAAAAAAAAGACAAAAAATACAAATTTACTAGGAGACATTAAGCTAGCTTCTAAAAATTAATTTACCAAACTGCTGCAAGAGTTTCATTTCTATATTTTATGTATTTTGAGATTTTCTTTGAATACAACACTTGAAATGCCCCATCGTTCTAGTAATGCATGCAAACTCATGTGCGCACTCACATCGGGTAAGCTGTAGATTACTGTAATTTCATCGAATTTTAAATCTCTGGTGAAATTTGGACATGCAATAGGATTTACAGTGTTTGGTGACTTACAGCACTTTGTTTGCAAAGGCACTCATGGCATAAACGGACCCAGTATGCTAGGAGCTGCATAGGGCAGTGTGTTTAGAATAGTTGTATTTGAAGGTACCTTCAGACCTGACCTAGTTAGAAGCATGGTAAAGCTAACATTTACAACTGATACTGCTTCACAAAAATTTTAAAACTGATTCAGTTGTACTCTTTTCTTACCTTTAAAATCTTAAACCATATGAATATATGGCACATTCAAAACTAAATAATGAGTAAGTGCAAAGGCTGTGTTATTATTGGTTGCAGTGAAATTCAGGGAAGCAAAACTAATTTTTGCCAGACTGCTAGAGAAAAAGAATGTTTGAAAAATCTTGTAAAGAACTCTTCCATTTTTATGTTCTGCATTTTTACCTTTCTAAAATATGACAGTTCCCATTGTCAACTGAGAATATAGTCTTAAATAAAAAGGTAATGCTGTCAGGCTCCTTTCAAAACACAGTTCAATTGCGGTTGGAACCCTGCTTCCCAGTGTAGGCCAGCGATGTCTTCCAAGTGTCATAAGCTGTCAAGTTCAGTTCTGGAGACAGAAGTAGTTTTCTTAGTGGAAAGGGTTGTTGGCTGTCATCGCTTTGAACTTACCTCTAAAAGTGCATTGCTTTGGGAAAGAACTTGCACATTTATGCTGCATGGCTCCTGCTTCTGCTTTGTGTGCCTATTGTTTGTTTTTCAGAGAATCCAAGTCTCACACTGTGTTACTAACCTTTTTGTTAATGATTAACTGTGTCTGACCACCACTCCTCTTTTCAGGAGCATTCCAGCTGTCCTTCAGAATCCAAATACACTGTCCGGCCTGCCTGTGCAGCCGCAGCCACCTCACATTCCACAGCCTCTCGCAGCCACTCTCTGGTCTCAAGCTTTACCATGGAGAAGCGAGGATTTTACGAATCTGTTGCCAAGGTCAAGCCAGGGAACTTCAAGGTCCAGACTGTCTCTCCAAGAGAACCAGCTTCCAAAGTGACTGAACAAGCTCTGCTAAAACCTCAAAGTAAAAATGGCCCTCAGGAAAAAGATGGTGACCCAGTGGACCTGGATGATGCAAGCCTTCCAGTCAGTGATGTGTGAGGTGGAAGCATGTGGGGTCCACCTGCCCCATCCGCCCCTCAGTGTCCTTCCATGAGGCTTCTAGCCAAAGATGATAAAGTGAGATGGCTTTTTGTGCACATGTTGTGTCTTAGATGTCCTCTTTATAAGCTTGTAAACCAAGAATCTAGGGAATGGCCAAACTAAGCATTAATTTCTTTAAGGAAGAAAGAAAAAACCCTAATCATTTTGATGTCAGCGGTCTGAGACCTTGAGTGTTCTTATTTGGGTGGTAAAAATGTGTGATTGTTTTTCATAGTGACTTTGACAGTTTAAATGTTTTAACAACATAAAAATGCTCATTAATTATTTTGGTCATTTAAAAATACTACTTTGACTTCTAAATGTTCAATATTTACACATTCTTATTGGTTAATATTAAATGGAATATTGTCAGACTAAGATTCTTAAACCCATGATATCTGTGGTGCTGCAAAATTTATACTGCAAGGTGGACTATTTTTGATACTCTGGATCTCGAGGTGAGTGTAAGTTTTGCATGGAAGAGGCGGTCAGTCTGTTGGTAAGAATGGTGGGTTGTACAGGGGTGGAGAAAAGGGGAAAATCAGAATTGAAGCAACTGTATCTGAGACACTTGGAAAAGCTTATTCAGGACTTGCAGTTGTCAGTGCTTTATTCAGTAAAAATTATTTAGTCAGAAATTTGGGAGATACCTGATTTTCCTATCAAAGTTTTGTACATAGTTCTTATTTTGATACTTGGATCAGTAAAGACCTCAAATTTATATGTGAAGTCATAACTGCCCTGAGTCAGTTGCTGTGACCTCGACTTTTTCATTGTTACTAACCTGTCTTCAAGTGCCTGTGCTTTTTTCATCTTGTTTAGGAGTGTGCTCAAAAATCCTATATGATTGGCTTTAAACATTGGAATAAAATTAATTTTCAGTAGCATGATTGAATGTGTTAAATAAGATAGCATTTTACGTTAGAGATACCAGAATGCTGGTATTCTACTACCTGTGCAATATATATGTTTTAAAAAAACAAATTTGAGTGTACATTTAACCTTGGGGATATCATAAATGTAAGCACCTCTTGAAAGAATCCGTGGTTTCAGGTGTTGAATGATAGAGCAGTTTTAGAAAGTACTGTTTTGTGATTCAGTCTAAACATTTGCTTTAAGAAAAGTCTTGAATTTCACATGCTGCTATTTGTATGATATTTTAACATTGTACAGTACTGTTTTGTTTTGAAGCATACATATCGCCGTTTCTCCTTTTCATTTTCTAAGATGACTTCTTGTCTGAGAGAGAGGAATTTGCATCTGGGGCAGTAGGGTCCAGAGGTTAAAATATATTAGAATTACACAGTATCAGCTTAAAAATCCATATGCATAAAAATGCACCACTCAGCTTTTTTATTCATAAGCTAATATTTTTAAAGTTATGTTTAGATTTTTCTGTTTTGCACCTACATTAGAAAATAATAGAATGAAAAGGTTTTAAGTAGCTTTCACTTCTTCTGACTTACCCATTAATGGCTCTTTTGAAAGTCCCATTTTCATGAACACACCTAAAAAACTTGCAACAATTCAAGAGCCTACTGCTGTTTTCTTTGGTACAGCTTCCACATTGCATGTTCATTTTAGCATATTTTGCTATTGGTAATTTGATATATTTCATGGTGGCAAAATATTAGCTCTGTTTTGGGGACTTTTTATAGAATTACCCTTATTCAAATAGCATAGAAAAATGTTCTTGTGATTGTCAGGGTCTCTTAATATTTATCTCCATTCTTTTATAAGTTTCTGGAAATTATTTAATTATTTTAAAACTTATACTTTTCTTGTAAATATGTCATATCTGAAGTGTCACCTTCATATTTGCTGCATTTTTCTGTGTACATGCCATGTTTTCTTTCAGAATGGGAACGTGCACCTCCCAATGTTTACTGTTACGTCTGTTTTCTTTCTGTGTCAAACTGGTTGAACACTGTAATGACTTGAGAATAAACTGCTCAGAATTCATTCTACCTTCTCATTTTGCTTGGTCTAGTTCTTGCATGAAAAAGTACATAGAATTAGTATGGGGTGTTTTTTGATGAACTGACTTGAATGTATTTAAGAAACGTCATTATTTGGCAATCTTTGAAAGAATAAAAAACCTCAAATCTGTGAATTCTGAAGACACAACTTCATGTGAAATTGTACAAGGAAAGATGTGGCTTTTTTTTTTGAGGGGAAGAAGGCTTGCATATTTTGCTTAATTAAAAAATGGTTTTCTCAGAATCAAAATTAAATGTATTGTCTGTGGGGCATGTTTGAGTGGTCTGGGCTGCTTCCAGTGCTTGGTTCTTGATGAAACTGGGTGTGGTGGAAGGCCAGATGCAGAAGGCATTGGGCCCCCAGTGGGCTGAGATGCACTCCTAAAATCTACACATCCAGCCTTCAACTTTTCCTTCTGATAGTAAACAGTACTTAGCTGCCATGGTGACTACTGCTCAGAGTCTAGCACAGTGAGTGCTGCCCAAGTGATGTTCAAAGTACCTCTTCACGGATCCAGAATGCATTGAACATTGCACTTATGCTTTGAAATATAAATTATTCACTTGAAATCCTGGAATATCCTAGCAATGAGTTTAGATGTCTTTTTTGCTCCTTGTGTCTAGTTCATTGTCAAATCCCACCACTTCTCCCTTCTGTCTTCATACCTTGTCCTTTGAAATGCGACAAGATTCACTTTGAACCAATGTGCCTCCTTACCTGTTCATGTTCTGTTGGGCTCCTCTGGTACCACCCTCTTTCTGTCATTTCTGAGGGCAGGCATTTGTTGCTTTTTTCACAAAGTTGTGACATCTTAAAGATCAGCCAGTACAAGCCCCCACCATGAGAACTAGCTGACTGAAAAAAGTGGAGCCCTCAGGAAGGAAGAGGATTTGTACTGGCCCATGGGGTAAGGTAGCAGCAAGACTGGAACTGTTGGCTTCCCACCATACTTGAGTCATCATGAGGATCTTCACCCTGGGCTTGGCTAGGGTGACCTGGTCAGATGTACTAGACTGGCTCCCGCTGTGCTATGGGAGTTCTTCCCCACCTCTCCCAGACACTCACTCATCAACTCTTCCTCACAATTTCTCTGAAACGCTTTCTTCATCATAGGCCCTCAGGTCTCTGCTCTTCCAAATGACTTCTGCTTAACTGCTTAGTGTGTCTGTTCCCATTTGTCCCTCCTGCAGTGGAACGTTACCTATTCCAGAATGCAAAGAACTTGATGTTTGGACCGGTTTCTCTTACTGGGTTTCCTATAGGTTTTGTAATTGTTTTTTGTCTGGGGCCAGCCTCAGACTACAGTCATCCTACCTATGATTCCTGTATAGCTGGAACCACAGACACTCACCACTACAGATGGTTTGTTGGTTGAGATGGGGTCTTGCTTAACTTTTGAGGCCAGGCTGGCCTCAAACTGTGATCCGTTGTCTCCTGAATAGCTGGGATTACAAGTGTGAGCCACCACACCCAGCTCTGGTTTCTTTTATGCCATGGATATATTTGACACTCCTATGTAAGCATGTTCAGTGATTCCCAAAAAAGGGAGAATATTTAAAACTGGTACTGTGTGGAAAGAGCTTTAATTCTGGGTTTTAGCAAAAGAGGTTTTAATTTTTTTATGAGGTCCTCCCTGTCAATTTGTTTTTCTAGAAGATCGAGATTTTCTTATCAAAGTGCTACTGCATGCATAGCCCATGTTTCCTTGTTTGCTTCAGCCATGGGGTCAAAGTGTAACCTGGACAGCACTGTTACATTCGTCTAGAAGCCCCCTCCTCCGAAGTGGTCCTTTGTGTCCCACTGGGTGACAGACACCTCATTGTTACCATTGTGTCTGTCTACTGCTGCTGTAGTTTCGTTGATTCTTCTCTGGGTCCTCCAAATAAGTAGCAGTGTTTTATAGATAAGTAATTTTTACTTAAAGTTATTCACAGCTATATTTTATCCATTTTTAAAAAACCTCCTTGAGACCAATTTGAATTAAAATTAACCCAGTGGTACTCAGTGGAAACAAAAGTACTGCCTCTTGCATTAAATGTTTCTGTTTGCCTTAGCGTCTCCTCTCATGCTTCTGTCTACAATGGCTGTCTTACACTGGGCATCCTGGGGCTTGCATTCAGCCTCAGCTCTACCATCTCAATTTAGGCATGTGTCTAAAGTGTAAGTTCCACTTTCTACGTTGTGTAAAATGACAAAAGATACCTTTCTTGGTAATGTTATTAACTAATACGACTTAGTTTCTTTCCTTAAGAATTAAATTTTAAAGAAACCCAAACTAAGGAGGAAAATTCTAAAGATTTTTTTCTTTAACAAAAAGGAGAGCCCTTCCCCTTGCTTCCCTTTTACTTCTTGCAGTTCAGGAATTTTCTCTGGAGTTTAAATGTTCTCAAAGTTCTGTCAAGCTAGGAGTGGTGGTGTACACCTGGAGTCCCAGCTAGTCAGGAGGCTGAAGAAGGAAGATCACTGGGACCATTTCAAACAACAAAAGCGGGTAACAGTCGAGACAGGAAATAGTTACATAAAAATGCAAAGATTTGGTGGCTTAGTAACAGATTTTGTATAACAACTTAATACCAGAACTTCTTGGCGTCTTTATAAGATACGATTGAAAGCACACTTAATTAGGTGTGCTTGTGTTTTCCAGGTGCTACCTGATTTGTCCTTTTTAAAATTATTTATAAAATTGTATTTTTCCCAAACATCAAGACATGTATTGAAAATATTGCTGAACTCAGGTTAGCATTTGCAATGTCACTTGATGAAATCCTAGTAGTCCAGTCTTACAGTTTTTAATGGGGAGTGCCTTACTACTGATGTCCATGTGATAATAGCGCCACCTTCTGGTCATCTCTTTGCTACATTTAACGTAACTGACCCAAAAGAAAATTGAAGATGTGTTTGCCTAGGATAGCTTTGAAATTTATATTGTTTTTCATCACTGAGGCTTGAACTCAGGGCCTTGTGCTTTTGAGACAAGTGCTGTACCACTTGAGCCATGCCTCCAGTCCTGTTTGCTTTAGTTACTTTTCAGATAGGGTCTCAAGTTTTTGTCCTGTCTCCGAAGTAGCTAGGATAATGTCATGCTCCAACATGCCCAACATCTTAGTATCTAGTAAAACCATCATTTACAAATGACTTGTTAATTAAAATTATTATTTGAAGTTAATTGTAGTTTCACATGTGATAGTAAGAAATAGTGCGGAGAAGTTGGGCATGGTGATACATGCCTGTAATCCATCACACAGGAGGCTGAGGCGGGAGAATTGAGAGTTCAAGGCCAGCATGTGTTACATAGGGAGACTGTCTCAAAAAAGAACATAAGTAATGCGAGAGAACTTGTATACAATCTACTCAGATTTTCCCAGTGATGACATTGAAAAATGATCATACAATATTCTAACTAGATACTGACAGTGATACTGTGAGGCATGGGACAAGTCCATCATTCTGAGGAGCCCTCATTGTTGCCCTGTTGTCACATCCATCTGCTGTTTAGGAACAGACTCAGTCACTTGTGCCGTCATGTTAGATTTAAAATGCAATCTATCAACACCAATGTTGAGCCCTTAACCCCTATGGTATTTCTACCTTAGGAGGAGTCTTGAAAACTGCTCTTTGTTTATATTATCTCCAGATGACTGAGGTAAATTTTCAACATTTTCCAGAGTCAAAAGACATTCCTTTATATTAACTTTTGAGAATCAATAGTAGGTGTCCTTCCTTCCTATTATTGCTTATACTCTCTCTTCAACAAAATTAGAGATAAGGGCAAAATAGTTTCTGCCAGGTATCAAGGGGGTGGGGGGGAGAGGGAGGGGGCGGAGTGGGTGGTAAGGGAGGGGGTGGGAGCAAGGGGGAGAAATGACCCAAGCCTTGTATGCACATATGAATAATAAAACAATTAAAAAATAGATGACTTTATCATAACCACCTTGAAAGATTTCAAGCTGACATTTGATATTGTGGGAGTAATGTTACCAGTAAGTAAGATAATCAGGTTAAAATGCCAAATTCTTGCATTGGAAATAGATAAGCACTTGCTGTTGGCTAAGGGCAAGCTGTTTTCCTATGTGAAATAGCTTTTGACCTTCAAGCCAGATCCTCCATTTCTTTTAGAGTTCAACTTGCTATACATAGGAGATGAAAGCTGATGATGAAGCTCTCCACAAGGAATTTGGCAAAAGAAATAAAAAGTACAATGTGTGATCAGACCTAGCATGGAAAACTGCAGTAGCATAGAAAGCTCTGCAGCCAGAGACTCAGATGGCCAGAGGGTGGTAGACAGGGCCTTTACAAAGTCCCAGGAGAGAAAAAGGTGCTTCTGAATGTCAGCTGCATGCCATGACTGAATTCATAAGTGTCTATTTGGAATCTGAAGGGTCCAAATTGTCACATAAAATTTAAAGCAGTCTCCTGAAGTTTCATTGATATCTTTCTCACTTCCAAGCTATGGTGCTTACAGCTCTCACTCTAGTTTTCTTTAGGGGTAGGGATGGGGTAAGGTAGGCAACGAGGGGAACTTCCCATGATTCAGGAACTTGCACTATCAAGCCTTTTTTCTCACGTCTGTGGTACCTTCATGATAGGAATATAAGCTAATGCCTTGGAAACTTATTTACTAGTACTTTCTTTGGTCCTAGGGACATCTGTTCTTGGTGACCTTTACCTACATACACTCATGGTGTTGGTTCCTGCTGTCACTCATTCTTTGTTCCCACCTTCCTTTTGCTTGTTTATATTTTGAAGATGGAAGAATTTCCATGGCTAGGGAGAAGAAGGGAGATGGTAAAGGTAACAGCTAATGTTTGGGGCCTGAACAACTAGAAGCATAGAGAAACCATGAGCTCAGGCAGCAAATCTGCAGGTTGAGCAGGCTGGAGGGAAAGGTCAGGGTTGCAGAACTCCATGTGTTAGGGTTGAGATGTCTGCTCTACATCTGAGAAGAAATGTTGAGCAGACAGTTGGTTCTACA